TATGATGAGAGTGTGGTGATTGAGAATGAAATGAAGAATATAATGCTTTTAGGGGATGGATTGAGGTACACCATTATCATTGAGAGTAGAAGTGTTGGAGGAGGTTTCATAGCTTTCAATTCTGCTACTGTTTGTGAGTTTCTCTCCTTCATCTTTTTTTCCTCTAGATATACTTTTAAAATTTTGGAATCATAATGGGATAATCCCAAAATTTAAGAGATGAAATGGAGATTAGTCCTTAACGTTATTTGAGGAAGATTTTAATTGGGTTAATAATTTCAATTAGAAATTTTAATTTTATGGATTAGTGAAAGTTTTTTGTTTTTCCTTTTTTTCAGTGGAAAATTAGTTTTTTAACAAAAGGAAAGGAGCTTTTGATGTTAAGCTAAGTACCAATACTTTTAAAAATGACATTTTATATGGAATTACGAATTCTAACCCTAAACTTTATCAGAGATTCAGAGATGAGTTTGACATATATGTTTGAGTTAGGTCGGAAACAAAAGAATCCTAATTCACAAATTTAACAAATTCTCATTATTTCACATTTTGGCAACAACCAACAACTGTTTGTAAACGCCTTCGAGTGTGTTTGGGGAAAGAATACCCTGGACACGTGGAGGACAGCCATTGGTGCTCCAAGGTGACCCATGAGTCATGCCCCAGCTCGGACCGCCGAGATCACCACCNTATATGTGAAGAGAGGGGTTTATGAGGAGAATTTGATGATTGGGAATGAGATGAAGAATATAATGCTTTTAGGGGATGGATTAAAATACACCATTATTACTGGGAGTAGAAGTGTTGGAGGAGGTTTCACAACTTTCAATTCTGCTACTGTTTGTGAGTTTCTCTCGTTCATCTTTTTTTTCCTCTAGATTAAAGTACATATATTTTGAAAATTCTGGAATCATAATTGGATAATCTCAAAATTTGAGAGATGAAAATGGAATTTAGACCGTAAAGTTATTTGAGGAAGATTTTAATTGGGTTAACTTCAATTAGAAATTTTAATTTTATGGATTAGTGAAAGTTTTTTGTTTTTCTTTTTTGTCAGTGGAAAATTAGTTTTCTAACAAAGAGGGAAAGGAGTTTTGATGTTAAACTAAGTACCAATACTTTTAAAAATGACATTTTATATGGAATTACGAATTCTAACCCTAAAATTGATCAGCTGCGAGTTTGACAAAACAAAAGAATCCTAATTCACAAATTTAACAACTTCTCATTATTTCACATTTTGGCAACAACTGTTTGTAAATGTGTTTGAGATTTTGTGACTTTGTTCAGTTGTGAGCGGGGAACATTTTATTGCTCGTGGCATCACATTTCGGAATACTGCCGGACCCGAAAACTACCAAGCGGTAGCCCTCTTCTCAGGCTCCGATCTCTCCGTATTTTTCCGGTGCCGATTCGAGGGATATCAAGACACTCTCTACGCCCATTCCCAAAGACAATTCTATAGAGAATGCTACATCTACGGCACCATCGATTTCATCTTCGGCAACGCGGCGGTTGTCCTTCAGAACTGCATGATCTATGCAAGAAAACCTATCCATGGGCAGCAATGCGTCGTGACCGCCCAAGGCCGCATCGACCCGAACCAAAACACCGGGATCTCGATCCACAACTCGAGGGTGATGGCCACGGCCGATCTCGAACCGGTTCGAAGCTCGGTTGGAATCTACTTGGGGAGGCCATGGAAGGAGTACTCTCGCACAGTTTACTTGCAAAACTACTTGGATGGCTTGGTGAAGCTTGCAGGGTGGTCAGAATGGAGTGGTAATTTTGCCTTTAATACATTGTATTATGGAGAGTATAAGAATTTTGGACCTGGTTCTTCTACTAGCAATAGAGTGAAATGGAAGGGTTATAGAGTGATAACAAGTGCCACAGAAGCATCAAAATTTACTGTTGGGAATTTTATTGGTGGGAGCTCATGGCTGCCTTGGACTGGAGTGCCATTCACTGCTMGCCTTTGAAATGGTTGAAAATCTCAGTGATTTTGATATTCAAGTTGATGATTTTTAGCTGCATAAAACACATTAATAATTAAGTTGGGGTTATTGTGGGTGTAATTTGTAACATCTTTGATTCATATATCAATTGTTGTGCTTGCGTTTTATTGTATTGATCAATAATACACAATTCTCGACAGAGTTCTTAATTGAATATTTATTCTTTCTTGTTTCTTTCATTGTAATCGGCCTCTAAGGTTGAGGAACATTCTCATTTCTGATTTTTCTCTTTTCAAGTTTTATTAAGAAATTTAAGTCTCTTGTAACTAATTATGTTTTTTGTATTTTTTTTAGAAACATTCTCTATAGAAATTTTGAAAACAATCGAAACAAGTTTATTATTTTTCTTGTTTTTGTTTCGAATTTGTTATAAAACATAAATATAAAACATATGCAACAATAGATCATTTATAATTGACTTATCCAAAACTCACATCCTAGTCCTTGCCTCTACATGGACTTCTAAATCCAATCATTTTTTAACTAAAATAGACCTTCCATTTCTCTCGATTTGAGTGCTTTTATACACCTTTTTTTGTATGTTTATCACATACACATTATCATAGGTGTTGGAGCTATGCAATTCTATTTTTATTTATAAAAGTGGAGTAATGAAAACAAGAAATAAGAACATTATCAAATAAGCCTTAAATGATTGCATTCTTTTTTTTAGAATAAAGGAGTTTAAGCAGAAGATAATGCTCTTTTGTATTTTGGTACAAAGATGAGTGAGTGGATGCATTAGTCACCAATCAAAATGGAAAAATTATTGTTGGTTGGCGGTACAAAAATGAGTAAGTGGGTGCATAAGTCCCCACCCCCACTTGTTGTACTAAAAAAGAAGAAGAAAAAAGAATGAAAGTGGAAACGATGAATCGATGCGATTGTTTAACTACTCAAGTGTTAATTAATTATGTAATTTTGTTATTGATCTCGTGAAAATTTCAATGGATAACAATGAAGTTGATAAGTGTGACTATGGGAGCATTGATTATAATTAATCACGGAGGAGTACTATTAGTCCCATATTTATAGTGAGAGTGTTCAAAATCTGACGATAAAGAAGAGTCTAATTCTAAATGAAACAGGCAGGGTGTTTGGTGACAAATAACTCTTGGAAGTTTCATCCATGTGGGTGTTGTGTTCAGGTCGCCACAACAGGGGTTTGGACGTACGGCTACTCCCTTAGAACGTCCATGAAATAAGATACGTGCACATGATCGTTAATGTGTAATCCATGTAAAAAGAATGCGCTGCCTACTAACTGTACTATGTTGGTGTGATAAATGGAAATTAACAATTTGAGTAAGAAGAGATGTAGTTCAAGACTTAGTTTACTAAATGTCAAGAAATTAAAAAAAATTCAAATGTACACAGAGGTTCAAACTTTGCAACACCACACCCTTGCATAGTAAATTGCTCCTCCTTATTTATATTTATATTTTCAAAATCTTAAAATTGTGGGGATTGTTCGGTATATATTTGCAGTATATTTTTTTTATTAGTTTTATTTTTAGTTGTTTAACTTAGTCAATTCACCATCCCAATTGAATAGGAGGGAATGACTATGAACTTGTTAAACAAGTATCCCCCTATAAAAAGGGCAGTATCTACCATCTCATAGAACAAGAGCGTTTCCCATCCCAGAAGTTGTTCTGCTATAATCTCTGCAACGCCGCACTGCGAAGGATTCAATAGACAACATTTACGAGCGTGATCCAAAATTTACAGGCTTTTCTTTACCTCTCTATTTTACTGTTGTTTATTAAATTAATTATTTGTATTGATGGTTAATTATTTTAAATATTTCTATCTCTAGATATATTTCCAACAATATTCGCAACCAATTAATTCATGTTAATTAGCTAAGTTGAGCTATGCTCAACTGATTTAGGCAGATCGTGGGTTCGAATTCCCACCCTTGCATGTTGTACTAAACAAATCTCGTTAAATTTTCGATTGGTTGGTAATTGATTATATGTTGATGTTTTATTTCCATTTAAAAACAAATAGTCTAATCCAACCTAGTCTCGCGGGAAACGTTGACAGATACCTTTGTTAGATTTTTTTGTTCTTTCCATAGTTGTAATGTTGTCTATATATTGGGATATCTAAAAAAAAATATAACAATTATATTAATTAAAATATGATCTTTGAAATATCATATTGAAAAATAATTTCATTGACCAAATATAAACATTAAATGTCAAAGTTCATCTATTCTATCTAATATAGTTAGTTCAATGTGGTTAAAGGTTGTACTAAAGAAAATGGTTCAAAGGCGTCTCTACTATTTTAAAATAAACTACATAAACGCATAGTTAATTAGCTGAGAGAAAAAAGGCCTAAGACCCTAATCTTGAAAAGGCCTCATATTGTTATATATATATATATGCTTGTTATTTATTTATAGCTCATAAATTATTCTCAGCGTGTGTGAGTTTTTAATTATAAATATACTTCTAGAATACAAAATTATATATATATCTTCCATAAAATTTTCAAGATAACAAATTATATAAAAGAAATAGATGCTTTTTCCAAAGGCATTATTGACAATAATTTTTTTTTAATATATCAGAAGCTTTTAAAAATTAAAGTTAATCAAATTGTGTTTGAGAACTATATAACAAAAAAGAAAATTTAAATGGACCGACAATATTGTCTCTATTGAAAATGATATATATGAAAATTTAATATATAATTTTCTTCTAATTTGGAGAGCTTTCCTCTAAAACCTCTTTTTTTTCATGTGTTTTTCATTTACTCTAATAGAATTGCTCACTTTTCCGAAAAAAAGATACATATTTTTGTATCTTCAAAGTAAGAAAAATATAGCTAATATATTCTATATTAAGCAACTTCCATGTTAAAATTTTGACTAAAGCTCAATATCATGTAGCATTACCAAAAAACAAATATAACACATTTACCATTTCCGATAAGTTAATCATATCTTTTAACACCATGAGTAATTCAAACTTTTGGTGGGTTCTTGAATAATTATTTTATTCCCATAGTTAATTACTATCATTTTCATCTCCATTCAAAGAAAAAACCAAACCAATCTCAGCTCTGTCGTTGTCCCTATCCCTATGAAAATCCTCCTCTTCCCTTCTCATACATAAACAACCACACCCACTTCCTAAAACCATCAATATCAAAAACCCAAAAGAAAAAAAGAAAAAGGAATCTGAAAAAGATGATTCAATTTATCCATTTTCCCATCATTATCGTTTCTTTGTTCGTTGTTTCACTAGTGTCCCCATCCCTCTCCACCAACGCTGTCGACACATGGTGCAGCCGAACGCCATATCCTGACGTGTGCAACCACATCTTTAACGCCAAACATTTCAACCCAACGAAGCTCTCAGAATTCAAAACAATGGCTCGTAAAATCGCCCTGGACACAGCTCTCGCAACAGAAACCCTCACAAAGCAACTCGGCCTTAATAGCCCTACCGAAAAAGAGAGCGCCGCGTTGGCCGATTGCTTACACCTTTACAAAATCACAATCCTCCAGCTCAACAAAACATTCTCCCACAAATGTTCTGATTTCGATATTCAGACGTGGCTCAGTTCCGCACTCACCAATCTCGACACGTGTCGTGCCGGGTTCGCAGACCTCCACGTGGCTTTCCCGCTGCTGCTGAATAATAATAACGTGACGAAGCTTATAAGCAACAGTTTGGCGATGAATAACTACTCGAAATCCAATTCGGAGACGGGTTATAGAAGGGGGTTTCCGACGTGGGTTCGGGCCAGGGACCGGCGGCTACTGCAGGCGGAGTCGCCCAAGGCGAATGTGGTGGTGGCGCAGGATGGGTCTGGGAATTACCGGACGATTGCGGCGGCGTTGGCGGCGGGGAGGAGGAGTGGGAGTGGGAGATTTGTGATATATGTGAAGAAAGGGGTTTATGAGGAGAATGTGGTGATTGGGAATGAGATGAAGAATATAATGCTTTTGGGGGATGGATTGAGGTACACCATTGTTACTGGGAGTAGAAGTGTTGGAGGAGGTTCTACAACTTTCAATTCTGCCACTGTTTGTGAGTTTCTCTCTATCCTCCTTTTTTTTCTCTCTTTTCTTTCTTTCTGGATAAAAGTAGATATATTTTGAAAATTTGGAATTAAAATAGGATAATCCGAGAAATCTAGACTAAAATAGAATTTACATCTTAAAATTATTTGAGAAATATTTCACATCGGTTAACTCTTGAATTAGAAAATTTAATTAAAAGAAACTTTTGTTTCTTTTTTAATACAAAAAAGTGAAAGTAAAGATTTAAATTTACGACCTTTTTACCGTGGACATATGCCTTTAACCAATTGTCGACGACACACATTAATTAAACTTTTTAACCTACTATGCTCAAGTTGTGATTCAACTTTGGTAACATGGCAAGGTCTAGCTTCATCTTGGTCCACAAAATCAAACTTTTTTTTGTAATTACGATATCGCTACCATTTCTTTCAATTGGAGTGTTTTTCTATAACCTCCATTTCGTTTACCTTAGTATGTTTCTGATCACAAACAAATGCCCAAGCTAAGTTAGTTGAGAGATCTTTTCACAGCCTCAACTCATGTCCACACCCCAACCGTTAGGAAATGTCACGTAGAGAACCATCGGATACATAAACTTCTATATTCCACCTAATTCAAGTTATGTTGTCATGGAATCAAGCTGCTAAAAGTCTAAAACTAATCTTAGCTATGCTCAACTTGGCAGGCAAGGAATACTTTTCATATTAAATATTCATAGAATCCTAACCGTAATCTTTGTCGGATGAGTTTGACATACATAAAGGCCGGAAACAAAAGAATCCTAATTTACAAATTTAATAAATTCCCATTTCACATTTTGGCAACAACTCTTTGTAAACGCCTTTGAGTTTTTATGACGACCTTTGTGCAGTTGTGAGCGGAGAACGTTTTATTGGCCGTGGCATAACATTCCGCAACACTGCCGGACCTGAAAACTACCAAGCGGTAGCCCTCATGTCAGGCTCTGATCGCTCCGTCTTTTTCAGGTGCGGCTTCGAGGGATATCAAGACACTCTCTACGCCCATTCCCAAAGACAATTCTACCGAGAGTGCTACATCTACGGCACCATCGATTTCATCTTTGGCAATGCTATCGTCGTCCTCCAAAACTGCATAATCTTAGTGAGAAAACCTATCCACGGGCAAGAATGCACTGTCACTGCCCAAGGCCGCATGGAACCCAACCAGAACACTGGAATCTCGATCCACAATTCGAGGGTGATGGCCGCGGCCGACCTCGAACCGGTTCGAAGCTCGGTTAGAACCTACTTGGGGAGGCCATGGAATCAGTACTCTCGAACAGTTTACTTGCAAAACTACTTGGATGACTTGGTGAATCCTGCAGGGTGGTCGGAATGGAGTGGTGATTTTGGTCTTAATACATTGTATTATGGAGAGTATAAGAATTTTGGGCCTGGTTCTTCTACTAACAATAGAGTGAAATGGAAGGGTTATAGAGTGATAACAAGTGCCACAGAAGCATCAACGTTTACTGTTGGAAATTTTATTGGTGGGAATTCATGGCTACCTGAGACTGGAGTGCCGTTCACTGCTGGCCTTTGAAAGATTTGAAAATCAGTGATTTTAATCTTTAATTTGTTGACTTTTAGCTACATAAAACACATTAATAATTAAGTTGGGGTTATTGTGGGTAATTTGTAACATCTTTGATTCATATAGTTGTGATTGCCTTTTATTGTATTGATCAATAATACACCATTCTTGGGATGTTCTTGAAAGTTAGATTATTTATTCTTTCTTGTTTTTCTTTCATTATAATTTGGATGTAAATGAACCCATTTTTTTTTAGGGACTCGGTGTAACTATTTAATATAATTATAAAATATTAAAATGTAATTTTTTTTAATTATAATATAATCGGTCGATCGGGACCAACGGGTTCATGATCGTCGACTGATCGACCTTGTCGGTTCTGATTTTTCGAAATCGACAACAAAACCGCCTATCCCAAAAACCAACCGATCAACCTATTTTTGATCGGTTTCGGTAGGTCGGCTCGATTTTTCGGGACCGATCAACCTCTTCTCGTTACACCGGTAGAGGAGTTGGACCTGTTGTCTCTCTTTTCTCTGTCTTTCGACTTCTTGAGCGAGCTGCGTTTGTAGGATTTCTTGTCCTTTGACTGGATAATGTCATCTGCCTCAATGAACTTTCTAGCTTGCTCAAGGCAGCCCTTCAGAGTTTGGGCTCTAATTTCTTTGATTATGACTAGCTCAGTCTTTCAATGGGTCACCTCATTAACGAATGTTGTTTGGACAAAGGCGTTGGTGCATTTCTTCACCTTGATCTGCTCTACAAGGAATCTTTTGATGTAATCGTGGAGATATTCCTTATGCTTCTTTTGATGGATAGCAGATAAGTGTCAGACTGTATGGTGTGCTGGTGAGCTACTAACTGGGCTATGAACGCCTTCCGAGCTGCTTCCAGATCGAAATGGAGTAAGGCGCTAACAACCTATACCATTTTCGTGCAGAGACTTGCAGGATGATAGAGATGTCCTACACTTCATCACGTCAGAATATGTGTAAAATTTTATGATGCACTCGAAAGTCTCCGTGTGATCTACTTGGTCGATTGAGCTGTTATACTTGTCGAAGATCGACAAGTAGCTCCCTTACGAGACCGACAGGTTAAGAATATAGTCTGAATGAAGGTTGGTTCAGGCTCGTCATCATCAAAAGTAGGCTTATCTTTGGTCTTTTTAAGGTCGCCTTTGATCTTGATGACTAGTTCTCTCTTCAACTAGTCAACTGTATATGAAATTGCCTACAGAATCCTCCTAGTGTTGCTTCTTATGAGTACATCCTATCCCTGAGCTCGTTTATGGATGATAGTGTCTCGTAAGTCTTCATCTTCTCTCTAGGAAAGTAGGGAAAAGAGAATCGATCGCAAGGCGAGGTCTGTCGTTCCTTATGAGAACTAGCTTCTCAATAGGTCGGTGCACGCCATTCTTGGTTTAATTGTTGTCTAGCTTCTGCTTGCATTTCTTGGGATAACGAGGGATCTCAGGCTCATACTGCAGCTCGGTGGTCAGGACCTCCTCTACTGGAGTAGATTTGGTCTTCTTGGTATTTGCTCCGGTTCTTGGCTTAGTAGGTTTTGGAAATCTGGGAGCCTCCTTCTCTGGTATGTCATTGTTTAACAGATTCGAGTGTTCAATGTTATAGTTGTTAGAACCTTGGGAACCGTAAGCTATTTTGAAAGCACATAAACTTTACATAAATGTTATTCCCACGTATGGCGCAAATGTTGATGCATGATTCTATGTAAAGAAATTATCACAATATATATAAATAAATGATTACAATGTCTTGTTAAAGTCTTTTTTTAGATAACGATATATGGGTGGAGATTCGAAACCTCGACTTTTTGATCAAGAATATATGCTTAGTTATATTGAGATTTAGAGTGATAACCAATCAATTCATATTACATTTTAAACCGCGCTAACATCATAAAACCTCACTATCCCCAATAGATAGCTTGGGTGGCCTGGGCTCAAAGAATATCCTTGAGGTCTTAGCCAAAGAGTCACCTACTCTTGGATAATAAAAAGAATAAAAATAAAAACTTCATAAAACCTCATTGAAGATCTTTTATTTCCATGCAAAAACAAATGGTCAAATCCAACACAATATAATGTATTGATTGCTTATTTTTTAAGAAGGAAAGATTGACCAATACATTTGTTAGATTTTTTCTTCTTCTTTTCTATAATTGTAATATTGTGCAGATATAGGAATATCTAGACAATATTTACATTGTATTAACTAAAATGTCTTGAAATATTTGAAGATAATTTTATAAACCAAGTATGTACGTTTTTTTTCATTACAATAAGTGTGGTGGGGGATTGAACTCACAACCTCTATATTGGAGATGTCAATTACCGTTGAGCTATGCTCACTTTGACAAGTGTAAACGTTTTAAAACGCGAACTTCACATATTATATATTCTATCTAATATAGCTGGCTAGTTCAATGTAGTCAAAAGAGATTAAATTTGAATCTCTACCCATATTTGTTTTTTTATTTATCTATCTTAATTGTCAAACCTTCAATGGGATCAAGACAAAATAATCCTCACCAATCAATACTAATAGTACTTTCCAATTTATTTTAGTTTTTTTTTTCTTCCTTTATGCATTTATCTCTCTCTTTTTTATTTCAATGGTAGTCCAATTATTTTTTATCCATTTGATAGAAATAAACAATAATATTCCCATTTTTTCTAAAAAAAAATATCAATAATATTATATTCCCATAGTTTACTACCATTTTCATGAAAATCCCCCTCTTCCCTTCTCCTACATAAACAGCCACTTACTTCATTGAAGGCTAAAACCATCGATATCAAAAAAAAAACCCAAAAGAAAAACAAATCTGAAAATGATGATTCAATTATTTCAAAAGCTCCATTTTTCCATTGTTCTCCTTTCTTCGTTTGTTCTTTCATTAGTCTCCCCATCCCTCTCGGTCCAACGCTATCGACCAATGGTGCAGCCGAACACCATACCCCGACCTTTGCAACCACTTCTCAAACGCCAAATATTTCTACCCAACGAAGCTCTCGGAGTCGGAGTTTAATAAAATGGCTCACAAAATCGCCATGGACACAGCTCTCGCAGCACAAACTCTCACAAACCAACTCCGCTGAAAATGCCGAAACCAAAAACAGAGAGCCGCCTTAGACGATTGCTTACACCTTTACCAAACCACAATCCTCCATCTCAACAAAACACTCTCCCACAAATATTCTGATTTCGACATTCAGACGTGGCTCAGCTCCGCCCTCACCAATCTCGACACGTGTCGCGCTGGGTTCGCAGACCTCCACCTAGCTTTCCTGCTGCTGCTGAATAACAATAACGTGACGAAGCTTATAAGCAACAGTTTGGCAATGAATAACTACTCGGAATCCAAATAAGAGATGGGTTACAGAGGGAAGTTTCCAACGTGGGTTCGGGCCGGAGACCGGCAGCTGCTGCATTCGGCATCGCCGAAGGCCAATCTGGTGGTGGCACAGGATGGGTCGGGGAATTATCGGATGATTACGGCGGCGTTGGCAGCGGTGGGGAGGAGGAGCGGGAGCGGGAGATTTGTGATATATGTGAAAAGAGGGGTTTACGAGGAGAATGTGGTGATTGGGAATGAGATGAAGAATATAATGCTTCTGGTGGATGGATTGAATAATGAAGTGTTGGAGGAGGCTCACAACTTTCAATTCTGCTACTGTTGGTAAGTCTCTCCATTTTTTTCTATTTTTTTCTATTTTGTTTCTTTGAACTTTGAGAATGATTCTACTTTTAGTTTTGAATTTTTGAAATAGAATCATTTAGTGACCCAACCTCATGTTTAAACTAAGACATAAAATAACATTCTACGGCTAAAATGTTAAAAAAGAGAGTAGAAACTAAAATAGAAAAAACTTAAGGTGCATGGAATAAAATAGAGACGTTTTGAAAATTGACCGTAATTTTAAATGTTTACTAACTAAAATAAATATTTTGATAAGAAATCAAAATAGAATGATGTTTAAAGTTTGGAGACTATAATGGAGTTTAGACCCAAAAAATTATTAGATGAAGATTTTAATTGAATTAACAATATCGTATCACAGTACTCCCCATAATAATAATAGTATGATATTGTCCTTTTTGGACATAGCCCTCATGATTTTATTCTTGATTCCACTTAAAAGGTCTCATAGTGGAGATAATTATCTTCTCTTATATACGGTGATAATTCTCTTTCCTATAACAAACACTTTGTGATTTTGTGACTTTTTTCAACTGTGAGTGGAGAACGTTTTATTGCCTGTGGCATCACATTCCGGAACACTGTGAAAGACCACCAAGCTGTAGCCCTCCGATCAGGCTCCGATTTCTCCGTCTTCTTCCGGTGCAGCTTCGAGGGATATCAAGCCACTCTCTTCGTCCATTCCCAAAGACAATTCTACAAGGAGTGCTACATCTACGGCACCATTGATTTCATCTTCGGCAATGCCGCTGTGGTCCTCCAAAACTGCATGATCTACGCAAGAAAACCTATCTCTGGCCACACATATTGCATCGTGACCACCCAAGGTCGCACGAACCCGAAGCAGAACACCGGAATCTCGATCCACAACTCGAGGGTGATGGCTGCAGCTGACCTCGAACCGGTTTGAAGCTTGATTAGAACTTACTTGGGGAGGCCAGGGAAGGAGTACTCTCGCACGGTCTACTTGCAGAACTACTTGGATGACTTGGTGAACCCTGCAGGGTGGTTGGAATGGAAGGGTAACTTTGGTCTTAATACATTGTATTATGGAGAGTATAACAATTTTGGGCCTGGTTCTTCTACCAACAATAGGGTGAAATGGAAGGGTTATAGAGTAATTACAAGTGCCACAGAAGCATCAAAGTTTACTGTTGAGAATTTTATTGCTGGGAAGTCATGGCTGCCTGGGACTGGAGTGCCATTCACTGCTAGCCTTTGAAACTTGAAAGTAGACTTGCAAAATCTGTGATTTTGATCTTCAATTCGTTTACTTTTAGCTACATAAAACACATGAAGTTGGTGTTATTGTGTTGTAACATCTTTGATTCATATATCAATTGTTGGGGAGGGTCTTCAAATTTTCATTGTAAGATTTTTGAAAGTAACGTTGAAACACTTCATACAAACTAACTATTTTTAAGATTTATTGAAAGTACTCGTATCAAACTAACTATTTTTAAGATTTATTGAAAGTATTGGTATCAGTATGATAATTTTAGGGAGGTGAAATTTTAGGGGTGAATATGGTTTAATTTAAACTTTATAATTTTTTTTATCAATGTGGGTTCAATTAATCAAATTAATTTACAATCAATTATATTATAATTTTATCTGAAATTAAGTAATAAATTTGGAGTTGTATTAGGTACATGAAACCAAGTCATTCTTTCTAGAACACTTGTTGGCATGCAAGATGGGACTAAGAACCAAGACGTAGGGCAAGAACTCCACCAACAAGAACTCTAGCATCAATCAGTAGGCTAAGAGTGGAAACGGTAGTCCAGGAGCTCTTGTAAGAATTCAACTAGAAAGAAATTTTGTTGAGGTTTTAGAAAATTCTTAAAGGGCAAAAGTCAAGACTAGATTAAGAGTAGGTGTGGTTTCAACAAATCCAATAGTACTTCTTACCAATAAGTGTTTCAAGTCAACGATTAAGGACACTAGCTACCCTACTTTTCTTTATTTATGATAGGGGAAGGAAACTCTGTCTATACCATAGCTTGAGACGAGATTAGAGAGGCGGCAAGCATAGTTTACGAAGCAAGAGTCACTCTTCCAATAGAGGAAAAAAAAAGGGAACTATTGGCAACTGCAATGGATACATAGTGTTTAGGCTAATAGTACTACTAGTAAACTACACTCATGAACAATTTATGTGCTAACTGAACTTAATTTTAAATTGAGGAATTTCAAGGATATTTAAAACTTGAGAAATCTCGGCAACGGTTCAATGATATCTATACAGAACTCTTTCTGAAAGAGACAATGCACTCGTTGGTTTGAATGATACTTTCTTGATATGCATTTTTTTATCAGAAATTGACAGAGTGTTCCTAAGGATTTCCTTTCTTGTAATAGCAATATATATTAAGTTTTCGACCACGAGATCTAATAAGTATGAATTATAGTTATAATATTTTGTAATCTATTTTATATATGTTGTGCTCCATGTAATATAGCCTTGATTGAATATCTAACAAGATAAAATTATCTTTATCAAGACCATAGAACCATGTTCAATAAGTAGAACGCATTAGTTGTTAGCGCAAAATAGATAGATATGATAATCGTGAGTTGTTTAAAAGGCCAATTAGAATCCTTTTTAAGGTTTTGGGAATAGAGGGACTACTTGGGGAGAAGTTATTGTCTACATTGGCCTTTCTGGTAAGATCACGAGTCTGAGAGGCGACGGTTTACCCTAAGGTAGAGACCGTGAAAATTTTCTTCCTTTCTTCTACAGGGACTTAGAGATGGAATCTAGTCATAAAACTAATGTTTAGCTAATAGATGACTTACTTCTTGGTCGTCGACTTCCTCAATCACCACAAACACTCTTGATCAGTGCAATAAGATGTGTCTACTTATCTATCTCTTGACTCGAAATGAGGAGCAAATATGAAAAATAATCTTAGAGTAGACCGAGAGGGTTTCTTAACACTTTCTATGTGGCTACCAACCAAATAACTATCAATCAATAAAACTAAAAAGTAACAATATACTCACAATAATACATTCGAGCAATTCATTTAATGTAAAATGATAATCGGAAATTAACTGTAAGAATAAATAAGATTGTTAAAAGAAAATTACACATATAACTTATTATAGTCGTATGGAAAAACTCGACTTACTCCTCTCCCCAAGTACCTCTTGGGTGTTTGATAGTTTGACTACTAAAAAATTTCGACTCTTTTCACGGTTTAAAGTCCAACCGTTAATCTATTCTTTTTTTGGGAGCAAGAATAAACTTAATCTTTTCTACGGTTTAAGATCAAACTTGTTATAATGATCTTTTTAGAGGAATAAAAGAACAACTCTTACGAAGAATTTGGAATTTTAGAACAATGGAAAAATACTCTCCCCTAAAGACCATTTAGATATTTTATCATCCTACAATAGACACATCCACTAGATGGTCACCCACATGTGCAACGTAAGTCAATCGCTCAAGTTAAACTTACCGGGTCGAACTACCCGACTAGGTTGATTCAACCTGACCTAGTCGAGCTAGTGGGTCCATCTAAGCCACCTCAAAGAGACTCCTTCTATAAATCAGAGAGACCTCGGGTGCGTGGTGGGGTTGTGTTCCATGTGTCTTAAACCCAAGACATCGGGAATATTTCTTGAGACCTCAAACCACCCAAGCTATCCTTGGGGACAAATAAAACATTAATCCGAAAGAAATTGCTAATGAGGAGGCTATCGTACCCATGTGACTTTCATTGTCTTGCTGGAGCCACGTGACATGAAGGCACAACCATTCCTGTTAAATCGCAGTCAATAGTTGCGTGTTCAACATTATATGAAATTGTAGTTAATGATTGCGATTTTTCTACTCAAATGGTTTTCAAACAATATCATATATGTCATTTTTTTAACATTAATTTAAAAAAAAAACTAAAAATTGATTTTCACATATAACACAGCAAAAAACAAATAAATACACTCCAAAGGATCACTAAAACCGCATAACCAATGGTACGAGCGAGGGGCGGGTCATTTTCGTATTTTCGCAGAAAAATGGGCAGTTTTAACCCAAGAGTTGAAGGGGAGAAACCCTAGTCTCATCCACTATATAAATCCTCAATTACACAGCGCCCTCATTGCCAATGCCTCTCCCGATTACAATCCCGTCTTTCTTCTCTTCCAACCCTAAATCTCTGTAAAATTTTCTTCGTTTGAAAGCTGGTGAAGAAGATCGCAGTGACGACTCCGTAAAATTCAAGCTCAACAGACCGGATTGCAGAGCTTTCCTCTTTCTATTTGAGAGAGAGAAAGATCTTTGCGTGTCGAATACCCCGCTGAACTGAGCGATCTCTTCACTCGGCAATTTTCACGAATTGGTTTGTTTTCTTTTAATTTTTGTTCTCGGAATCAGGCCGGTGATGATTGAAATTTCGATTTGCCTACATTGTCTGACTAACTTATACATGAATTTGAATTCGATGTCTGAGGCCTGATTTAGATTTATATTTCTTGCTGTGACTTTGAAACTGATCTGATATCATTTTCGTTTCTGGTTGCTCATTTTTTCGCTACTATCCGTGCGCCTGAGCTGTCATCGAGTTTTGTTACGCTAATAAAGTTGTCGTCACTCTGTTTTTTCGTAGATTTAGCAGTACAATTATTAGAAGAAAATAATCAGAGATACTAAAGATCTTTGTTCGAATTAAAGTGCGTTTACATCTCGATTTTAATCGCGGTATCAGTTTGATCGATTTCGAAGTACGAAGCTTCAATTTGTTCTCAAAAAAGAAAAAAGAGATTGAATATGATAAAATTTATATTTAAGCGCTATTTTTTTAGTGTTTAATCATCAATTTTATTATTATTCTGTCCCTAGGGTTTCTATAGCTCTTCGTACCCTCAAAGTTGAAATATGAATTTTATGCCTCATTTGATTTTCTTCCTTCTATGCAGAGTTTTGATACTCCTTGAGGATGTCTAGAAATTTGCATGTTTGGTATTCATATACTTTAAATTAAGAATGATTTTGATAATTTCGCAGGTTTCATCTGTGGCCTATTGGAATACAATAAAGTTATTAAACATAATTGAGTTCTTGGTAAATAACTATGTGAAGACCAGTGCATCTACACTTACAAAGTAGTTGAATGGTTCCAAATCGTTATACCTTCTATTAAACATGGATTTAAGGGAAATTTTTACATTTGTAGTATTTCATTTCATGATATATTTGAATTAAAGTTTTAGCCCTGAACTTCTGCTTAATAGATTCTTAAACAACTTTCAGGTTAGTTCTTTGATATATCTCTCCAAAACCATTGTATTTTATAGGTTTGTGAACTATCTTAAAGGTCTCTACTATATACATTATAAATATATTGATTTATTTGAAACATAGTTGAAATCTTAGAGATCTAGTAGATATTAAACTATCTGTAAGATTTATTAGTTTGGAGATTCATTTTAGTTTAGTTAACAAATGATTATTAGTGTCTTAAAAGTTTTAAGATATAGAAGGCTACAATTGTTTCATATTTCAAGGGAAAACAATATGAGAAGAAACTGGTTTTTTTTTCTTAAATAAGAACACTACAAGTCCACTTTCATCCCATCATCTCGAAAGTAAAGTGGCCTTGTAATTACCTAAAAATCAGGTGTTTCAAACCAATATGTAAATGTGGCTATACTCCTAGACATTCTAAAAGATAAATAACAGAATAAAGTAGAAACAGTTAAAACTATTGTGAAAATAGTAACAAATAGACAGTTTTGAAATGTAATGAGTATTAAATGAAACTATTTTCTTTATGACCCAGTAGTTCTTCCTGATTATAATTGACGAAGTTTTATCGAAATGAGGATTTAAAGAAGGTATAAACCTGAGTCTCGAAAAGCCATCAGAAAATGGAAGTACTTGATATCTTTTCTTTCATTTTTTCTCTCGTTATCAGAAGTAAACATGTATCAATCAACAAAACTAAAAAGTTCCACCATAACATATGGTACGGAAACCACTATCCAAAATCCAGGAGTTATGGCAAGAAATTTCAGTATAAAGGCTATTTGGGAAAACGATCAGTGGCTGCAAACCAATATGTAAATGTTACATTAAAATTTTCATAACATAAGGAATTGGATTACAACTTTTTTAACAATAAGGATAAAATTGCAAAATCATTTATTATAGATTAAAATATATATTTAGCTTTTTATACATAATATTTTGTTTACCAAATATGGACAAAAACTAAACTAAAAGACACGGCTTTAAAAGAAAAAACAAAGTAATAAATAAAGGATATGGCTTTTGCCCATGTCTCTTTTTTCTTAAAATAAAATATCATATCGAATTTACAGTAATGTAAAATGAGGTGAATGTTTAACTATATATAAATGATCCAGATTAATTTCGATAAATTAGTACTGAAAATAATAATAAGTAAATTAACGATCTTAAAATAAATAGGTTCCAATTATTATTAAGGTATAGTTATGGTAGCCTTCATCCATATTTCGTAGTCCTACTTTTTCTTTCCCTATTCCAGAGATGACTATTTTCTTTTGTAAGCCTACGTTCGGATGCGCGTCAAAAAATTCATGATGGGAATAACATATAGAAAGTGCTTTTTTAAAGTGCTTTATTAAAGGGTAAATAAGAAGTGCTTTTGGTCGTGTAATTGACTATAAAAAAGCACTTTGGAAAATGGTAATTATATTATATACCAAAATGTCCTTTTGTTTGATGCTTGCTTTGCTCCAGTCCTCACCTCTGTTTCTGGCCTAATATGTGGTTCCTTGCTCCAGCCACTTCCACTTCCATTTGTGCTTCTCTAATCCACACCCACAACTCCATCATTGCCTCTCTCAAGGTACGCTTCTAATTTTTCAACTCTGTTTTCTTCTTTCTTCTACGATTTCAGTTTCGAATTTTTATCAAGAACTCCATTCTGTTTTGCCGTTTCTGTTTTGTTGGGTTGAAACGATTTCCGAAATTTGAAGTCAAATCTGCGGATGATGAAGAAACCCAATTGGGTTTTTTTTCATCACTCGAAATCCCCGTCTTGTTCATCCAATTTCTTTACGTTTATGCAAACCAATTACAGATCCTAGAATTATTCAACTGTTTACCTCAATTAATTCACCATTGTTTCTTATTGTTCAATTTTCTTGGCATCACTTGAATTAATTAAATCCAGTAGTTTCTAATCACTAAACTTTTTATCCTAATGGGTGATTTTTGAAATCCATCGTATCAGAGAAGAGAGAAGCTAGAGGGTGCTTTCGCGATAGAGATTTGGGATTGTGCACCAGGTATTTGTAGACAGGGGATTGCTAGTCTATGGACGCTTTACTTATTTGGTCTTTTCCGTTGAAAATTTATTGAATGAGTTTGCCTTAATAACCATTGGATATGGACTCAAAATTCGAGGTGTAATTTCTCTTTCATATATCCAACTTAATAAAATTATCAGCCGTTTTGTTCCTGCCTCCTCCAATGATTTTTCCGGGATAAGATGGCGCTGAAAGCGAAAACTCCTCTGGATAGTGGTTTCCGACCATATATTATGGTGGGGCTTTTTAGTTCATCTAAATTTTCTTGTTGATTGATATGTTTACTTCTGATCACGAAAGAAAAAAGGAAAGAAGGGAAATAAAAGATTTTAAGTAATTTTCTCCTTGTCATCTTGTGTATTTAATTAGTTAGGTCTGTGGCTACCTGTGTACATCAATTCCTTACCATTTTCTGATGGTTTATCTGAGACTCGAGTTTATCTTTTCTTTCAATCCTCATTTCAGTAAAACTTTTATCAGTTCTAGTCAGGAAGTACTGCTGGGTCATAGAGAAAATAGTATCATTTAATTTAATGCTCTTTACATTTCAAAACTGTCTATCTGTTCCTATTTTCATCTCTGGTTTTTACTGTGTTTTATGTAATCAGGCAAAACTAATTTAAAATACTTTATTATACTATTTATCTTTTAGAATGTCTAGGAGTATAGCTACTAGTGATGAAAGAGAGAGGCAAATCAAGGCTATTTGGGATGATGTTACTCTTGATTCCTTCATACATGTATGTGTTGGTGAAACTTTAAATGGGAATAGACCTCGTGGTCATTTTAGTAAGATTGGATGGAGAAATGTGGTTAAAAACTTCTRTGAAAAGACCGGAAGAAATTACGGATACAAGCAACTTAAGAACAAATGGACAACACTCAAGAAAGATTGGCAAGTTTGGAATGATTTGGTTGGAACTGAGAAAGGATTAGAATGGGATCCTTTAAGACAAACAATTGAGGCAACTACTCAATGGTGGGATAACAAATTAAAGGTAATGAAATTGTATGAGGATTTTAGTTTTTAATGGTAGGTGTGAATGATCTAATAACATTACTATTACAAATATTCCTCTATAGGTTCTTCCTGAGGCTGCCAAATTCCGTGCGAGAGGACTACAAAATGTTGAGCTTTTAAACATTCTTTTCAAGGATGTTGCGGTCGATGGAGGAGCATGGGCCCCAACCCCATCGCAAGTTGTTTTACTTGATGCTACGAGCGATAAGGTCGAAGATTATAATGATGATACAATGGGAGACACAAACAACGAGAATGAGGAGTTTAACAATGTTGAAAGTAACACTAATGAGGTTAATACTAGTGGAACCTACTACACTCAAGGGAGCGAGAAGAAGAGGAAAAAGGTAGATTCAAAGGTTGGATCTTCTAAGTTGTTTGATGCATTAGATCGTCTTTGCGACGCCATAGAATATAGAAGAAGAGATTTACCAGGATGCAGTACTCTTGAAGTTATGGATACTTTAAGAGGCCTACCTGGGATAATAGAGGGTGATGAGTTGTATATGAAGGCTGCTGACATCCTTATCAAAAGAGAAAATAGAGAAATGTTTGTTGCTTTACAAAAGCCTGAGATACAAATCACATGGCTTAAGCAAAAACGATTTTGACATTTTAATGTTAGGCTTGTAAATTTTCATTTTTCTTCCTTTTATTAGGACCACTATTTTTTTTTTTTCCAATTTTTAGTGTTCTAGATTTTTCAATAGTTGATTTTTTTTTTCTTTTCCTTTTGTGGTGTAGATAGATCATGTATATAATACTATCATATTATATGATTGTGCTGGTAGAGTTTAAGAATGAATGGTATTTTTTTTAGAAGAGATGTCTTGTATTTTCAGGAATGATGCTACTAGTTACCATTTAGATGACTGTGACATCAAATTTGATCATTTAGTTCAAGCTATATGTGGAATATTTAAAAACATGTGATGATAAAGAATCATGGAGATGGATGATTAAAGAGAGATTTTGAATGGTGTTCTTGGGAAAATATATGTTTACTCCATTATAGATGACACTTAATCAACGTTATGAATTCAAAAGTCTTACCCCTCGACTTGGTTTGAAAGCTTCTCTCCAAACGATTCATCTGAAAATTGGTAGTAACATCTTTTCTTTTTAATCGATAGAAACTTATGTTCTCAAAATCGATAATTGATTCTTTGATAGTATTTATAAGTCAATCTTCATTATTAAACCTTTAGATATTCTGTTTAATTACGAGGATGCACTCCCATTCTCAATTGACATGGGTAAGGAAACTCGTGCCAGTATAATGGGGAATCCTTCCCTAAAAGTTTCATCTCAGTTTTTTATTTTTTTAACACAAATGCTACATCATACAAAATTAAACATATCAAATGTCACTTCATATAATATGATATGAAGTGACATATCATATTATATGATATGAAGACTAAATCATTAGTTTTTGCCGCTTAATAGACCAAATAAAAACTTAGATTCCCATACCGACTTGCGTCTCACTACCTAAACACCATATATTGAATTCATAGTACTCCAATCAATTAGTTACACCACATATTTGTTCAAGGCAATGTGTAGTTCATTGATTCATGAAATTTGGTAGAAAATTTCATTTGAAAATCTTGTACACTTCTTTCATAATTTTGGTATATTCGTAGTTTACTACTTACAACAAATCTCACATTTTTAAAATCTCAAACGGCCATTATATTTGTATGCTCCCTCAAATTACACTCTTTCTTATCCTTGTTTAAGCTTCAAGGAAACTGTTTATCTTTTTTTTTTCCTTCTCTTTTTCCTAATTATTTGAAATTCTTTTCCTACAAACAAATTTCTTTCATTCTTCTTTACAAAATATACTTACAGTTCAACTATTTTAAAGTATGATTTTTCAATACAATCTCTTTTTCTCTCTTTATTTTAATGGACTTTGGAGGAATGGAGGTGCCCGTCGTCTCTGCTAAATCAACCCACGTTGTTTGCCCCACCAGGCATAGAGTTGAAGTTGAAGCAGCCGAAGTTCTGATCAGTAAAAGACATAATGAGTATTCTCTCTCCTCCCTTGTTTCAACTTTCATGATAATTTTTTTCATTTGTTACAATCTTCACTTTCTTTTTACTGCAAAATTTTCCACCTTCAAACCAAAATTTTCTTATACAAATTATTTGCAGTTCATCCATTTCAAATATGTATGATTTTCCCATCTATACTTGCCCTTTCTTTTCCATCGTTTTTTCTTATTGTTTTTCTATTCCATTTAATACTTTTAAATAGAACTGAAAATATTCAATGAAGACAAATTTGCAAATGAAAAAGAGTGGAGAGAACAGTTAAAATGTGTAAAAAAAATTCAAATAACAATGAAAAATAAACAAAAAGAAAAGATAGATAATCAAATTGAAAATTGAAATAACAAAGAATGTAAAAACGAAGAGTAAAGAATACAAAGCATATTTTAACTTTCAAATATATATATTTTATTTCCATAACAAAGCCACACATAATAACTCGAAGGGACAGGAAATGAAACTTTCCCAGTTTCTCCTGGCACAAAATTTATCATATGTAAAAGACTAGAACCAATGGAGTTGAAACTCACATATAAATTCTCAAACTTCATAGAACATGAAACTGCGAGGCTGATTTGTGCTATGAAAATATTGCTACCCAACTAATGATGTGTTCTAGTAACATATGATTGATAATAAATAGTATGGTAAATTTTACAAAGTAGAGTAGCATAAATTTTCCAGGTTAGAATAAAAAAACTTTTGAAATATTATGAAGTTAATAGACTAAATAGGCAGAGCTAAAAACTTCATAGCCCAAATTTACAAACCTCAATATACTATGTGATCAAAATAATATATTGAGGTTTGCAAACTTCATGAATGTTCAGCAAAGAAAACACTTATGAATTCTGATGTTAAAGAAAGAAAAGTCGAAGAACAAAATTTCACAATGGCCAAATGAAAACACCTCTGTAGAATTTTTTTCATCCGTCTGGTATATTTGGAATACAGGAATTTAAAACAGGTGATTGTAACAACACAAAACTCGAACAGGAAAAAAGGACTGTAATCCAGATGCAATGGCCGATGGACAACACAGATCAAGAGTTGTACACGTACCAAAGACGAGAAAAATCAACATGTCATCCACATGCATCTTAGAAAATCAACTAAAAATAAATAAAACAATGGCATTGGAATACCAAAATAGATTCAGAAGCTAACAATAGCATCAGCAGACAATGAATTCATTATCTCAGATCAAGTGTTGGATTATTAATATTTGCTTCATCCTCATCCACTGGTACGTCCAAGAAATCAACCATACGCGAGAAAACTTACAAATAAATCACAGGAAAAGAACAACAAATTTCATCCAGCAAAGGTAGAAAAGAGAGGGGGAAAAATGTCTCACGGCCGGCTAATGACGCGGAAAATCTGAGAAATAAAAGAGAATGTAAAGATCCAACAAAGAATCGGAAAAAGAAACACAAAATGGATGAAAAATCAGAAGTTACTCACAAGAATAAAGATCATTGATGCAGAATCTAGATCTATAATATTGTTAATACGAGCTCAGAGGGTGAGAGAAAAATTGCTGCAACCGCAGCCATTGAAGAATTTGGCTTCTGAGGGACTTTAGTTTCGGCCGCTCTTGATTTATAGGAACAGCAGAATTTTGCCCTAATTTTGTTGAGGTCACGTGGCGAGTCCGTGACGGACTCTACCGAATTACGGCTTTGTGGTCCTCTTCTTTGCGTGATGCAATGGTTT